CATTGTGAATGAATGAACGTGTGTCTATCGCGTTGGGACAAATCATTCCAGAATGAAGAGCTCTCTTTTTCGAGTGCCGCCGCCCAGTGATGGTCTCGAAAAGGAGGATAAGGGAAGCCATCCTTACAATGCCGAATCATGATCATTCTAAGGTTTCGACATTCCATTAAGAACCTCATTTTATTCGTCTTCAGCTAGTTCATCCCCATCATCGTCTAGATGCGGATGCGCGGCCTCGCGATACTCGAAAAATCCTCCATCGGACATGCAATGATTGTTCCTTGGGATCGGCAATATGAGATCTCATCGAGAGAGCAGATCATGTAGCAGCGTTTCTCCTAGGCGGACATGGTCATGGAATCTAATGTACCTTCCATACGCATAGTCGCGATGTTCTTTAATCCTTATATCCTCCACGAGGAAGCGTGGCACTCGGTCATGAGCCGGTTGCCGTCCGAATTGCGGGTTGCCAAGCGGAAAACGACGCCGCACTCGGTGCAGATATCGGACCGTATATCCGATCGAAGTTTGTCGCTTGAGTAATAAGTAGATTTTGATGTCATTCGTCAACATTTCTGAGTTTAGAAAAGCCGATGTCTTCGAAGGTTGCTACCGACCGAATCCCGTTCCCGCAGTTGAGTTCTTTGATCTCGTTTTCCTCAAACTAAAAAGCGTCTTTTGAACAACGGCTGGAGGAAATCTCGTGATACCCTTCGGCGACCGGAGGGTAGTATCGAAAATCTTTCGCAGATCTTCTAACTCACCGAACTACGTGTTCCGCGTTCACGTAGTTCTACGCCCACAAACCGCCTGAGTCCCTGACTCGGGCACCCCGGGGATTTTTTTGTCATGGCACTGTACCTTGAAATGAGTTCTAAATTGACTTGGCTCACATATCATGGCCAAGAGAGAAGTTTTCCTCTGGCAATACAATGCTGGAGCGGGAGCGCCACGAGCTTGATATGAATAGCGGAGCGCAAGAACGAATTCAGCAGTCGTTCCGCTGACACTACCTGCAGTTGGAAGAAGCAATTTGCGGGCGTGTATCACACGGGTCCAGAAAAGACGAGATCCGGACAACAACAACCGAAGGAACTTGGCGGTTCTCCCGACAAACGGAGAATGCTCATGATCTCCCACCGATACCTTTTCCCTTCACGCAATGGGAAAGTTGACCCCGGCTTGCGACTGATGTCCATGGGGATTGGACTGGTCGGAGCGGAGCCTCGAGGGGAGCAGTCCTCCGAATTCTGATTTTCGCTGGTTTCTTGCAGGTTATCCGGAAGTACCCTCCGGACCCGCCTCTGAGAGCCGAAGCAGCTAACCGCATACAAGCCTCACCTTCTGAATGCGATGGGTACTATCAGTCTCAACGAGAAGTTCAACTGTGAAACGCATCTCCTCTATCAGGGAGGTTGAACAAGAATCCCCTGTCGGACTGCCTGTGCATCGATGCTTTCAGCTATTTTTGTTGTTGTTTGTAGACGCGATTCTAGCGCGACGAAGACGAAAAATATTACATATTGTCTCAAGATGAGAGAGGATGAGATTCGGACGGGCTCCAGAGAGAGGAATTCGTTCAAACAAACCAAGCGAAAGTGTTTGTTGTTCGGATGCGGAGCTTCGTCGTGCGTAAATGCGATTCGCCAAATCCGAGGCGAGTGCTGCCGAGAATCAGTCGAGAACGGAGCTCGAATGGGAGAAGGATTCGAAAATTCTAGTGCGAATGGATGTCGAAGCTTTCCAGGGTATATGTATCTTTCATGCTCATCTGGCCCATGTGTGAGAATCGATCCTCGCATGATTCTGGGGATATAGAACAAAAATGCTCCCCAATAGTAAATATCAGATGCATTCGACCTTCATGAATCCGGGCATCGGTTCTCTGTCTAAGGCATCGCTCCGATCGTGAGCACGACCCAATCAGTTTTCTCGGGAAATTATTTAGTGCAAAAGTGGAAATGAGCGGTCCACATAATCGCTACCCTAACATCATATCATGACTGTCTGTGTTTCAATCAAATCGCGGGACTCAGAGACGGAATCCGCGAAGATAATGATTATTCCAAATGGAGTGATCGGCATCCGAATGCGTTAACTTGGAGGAATGATATCCAAATTCGGAAAATGTTTCACAATTATACCAAACCTCCTCTCCCGGGAGCGAGCTGCAGCTCCCCATTGAGACTCTTCGTTTTCCGGCACAAGCGAGACGGACCCTTCCAAACTACGCGCATCAAGCTCACGACTGATATGATTCCCCCCGACTTTCTCCAGGTCGGAGGAAAGAGGAAGGTCAACTCTATTTCTTCGAAGTCCCCGTTGTATTTAAGCTTCTCATCAGATTTTCGCGGGATCATCTACAAGACAGAGAGTGCTAAGTTGCGAACACCATGAGCTAGTGTGACTATGAGCCCGACTCGCATCAATACTAAGTACTTGAGTCGTCACTTGCAAATGTTAGGCAAAAATCTCATCTATTTTCTTAAAGGAGATACATATATGACTTCATGACAGAGGCCCTATCATTTCACTTCTCCGCTATGTGGACGAGCCGGACTCTCTGTCCTGATAGGACAAGACGGCAAATAAATTTTTTGCGAGCGTATCTAGACCATTTTTTTAAGGACGATTCCGGGTCAGGACAGAGTCTACCGTCGAGTTCCATCACATTTTCGCACGATTATTGATCTCGGAACATCGAGCGCAGTACTGTCGAGCTAGGTTAGATCCTGGTCCCCACGTTTCGGTAAACGCGGGAATCCGTCTGCCGAAGATGTCGACTTGGAGCTCCCTTGAATTCCCTGGCGGGGGATCCCTCCTACCATATGGTAACCGAATGAGAACCGAACAACTTCAATCATATCCCACTTTATCCGCCTCGGTCTCAAAAGGTGTTCCGAGAATTCCATCAACGAGGCTCATCATGGCACTCGATAGGCATTGGGAAGACAGCCACCCCGAGGACGATCGAGGGAGCGGAGGCCGAACATCTTTCGCGAAGTATGAGGGCTCAGGCAGACGTGCCGCGAGTCAATTTCGAGTGCTCTTTCGACGCGACGGACATTCGGATCGAGCGACTCGTGGTCTCGCGATTTCATTTAAGAGACTTACCCCCCATTCTCATACTCCTCTCGTCATGCACATACCAGCTCAGATGTATGTGTGGTCAGGGAACCGGCTCCTGGGAACAAGGAGAGACATGGGGAACACAGAGTCACTGGCCTGTTAAGAGCTCCAGCGAACACGCAGCCACGTAACCCATTTCGGTGCCGCAAATCAGTCAGTTTTCGCTCCGCTGGAACTCTCCCGAGCCGTGCAAAGAGACTTCAGACAATCAGGCTCAAACACAGTGTTGGTTAGGTTGAGGGCGAGCGTTATGAGAGCGGAAAGTCCGGCCAAGATCAATCCAGAAGAAAAAGTAGTCTCGCCGCGCGCTTTTCTTCGCCGTGACACACCCTGATGATTTATCATCGTGGACAATAGACGACGTCCCAGATCGAGCGGAGCGTGCCGACGTGAGAAATGCCGTGCAAAACTTCGTGAGCATACTTAGTCGGTTTCAATGCAATGCTTGGCAGTATCTGTCAATTGAGCGCTCCCTCGATGAGTCGTTCATCAACGGGTTCGCCGAGGTGAGTGATGTTCATTATTCCACTGGACAGAGGGCTATGCTCGTTCGTCTAGGATCGGAATGTTGATCGCTCATACTCTGACAACTCCTCGAATTCGCGCTATTCCCAGATTGGGGCGCCCTTGAAGCTCTTTCTCATATTTTACTCCGATACAAGAAGATTTTCTCACGAGCGAGGTATCGACTAGGACACGGGGCTCATTACCATGTAGGAGTCCCGGATATAGCGAATGCTCCGTACACCGTACGTTTCGTGAAACTCGGCTTACAGAGAACCCCTTGCACAGCGCACCTTCTGTATAACGAACCGCCTCCATCAGCCATTCAGATTATCGTAACTTTTGGGTTGGATCGTGGATTTATCAAGTCGTCGTCAGGGGAGCTCTCGGGACTCGACGTTACCGGCGACGGTATCGTTGGAGCTCTAGGTATATCGCATCCAAGCGAGTCGGTGCAGGCACGGTCTCAAATGTGACAGGTCGCATCCGCGTATATCTCGCTATGCAGATGCGAGAGAAAATTTGTCTTGGCTCACGGCTCCTCCCCGGTGCAGTTCCGATCGCAGCTGAAGTTCATGGCTCCCGGTGGGGTCTCTTTCCAGCAGGGGACTCGTACTCTAGCCTACCGTTCCCCGTCACACCTCTCACCGCAGTAATGGCTTCATCAACGATTGCAATCACGAGGCTGAACGGGAAAAGAAAACAGAACCCTCGCCGGGGTGAGTGCTACTCGAGCTGTGAGCAGCATGTCGATTCCGTTTCTTCCGTTGAGAAGACGAGAGAGGAAAACGCAACCTGACTCAAGCTCTACGTGGGGAAATCAAACTAGAACAGCCCGACTTGACGCTGCCTGGCCCTTGCAAGGAATCGTGATGCTGAGCAGTTCCCTGTTCCGGGGCAGTATCGCGGTGTCAAGAATCCTAACCCTAGAAGGGTTATTTCCCCGTTTTGTCAAGATGTAAACCCCATCGAGGAGGTGTGGAATCCCTCTCAAGGCTCGCAAAGCAGTGACATCTAGTTTTCCGCATGATCCGTGCGTGAATCGGACTTTCTTCCCTTAGGCTCGAGTGTCGGAGTTCGACACAGACCGAGCTGCGAGCCATGTCTGGCTCGGATCATCGGCGTCGCATTATTCGATATAAATAATTCCATTCATGGAGGCCGGATATCACGGGAAACGGTCAGCAACTTGTCGGAACACTGGGCCGGCTCAATGCCTGCAAGCCATCAACTTGCCTGTCGCCCTGGGGGACCTTTGTTCCGCGAGATTATGCTTTTCGCTTATTCCAACTGAATATTACCTGCCGGCGGAGCCCGACCGGAAAATGAGCACTATGTTTGCGGAGAGGCAACCTTATGCACGGTCCGAGTCCTACTCGCGAGGCGAGAACATTCACACGGCGGCCGCAAAGATCATGCGAACGCACCGGGCACTCGGGCAGCAAGATACTCCGGAAACATCACCCCCTATGGACTATTTCGCTCGGACCTGATTCTGTGATCGCTCCATGGCGGGGCGTACGCAGGGGGGGAGAGGGCTAAAGGGGCTATAGCCCCTCCCAGATGGTCCCTTCGTAATGCTGTAGTATAGGAGCGAATCGCTATATTGGATTCCAGCCCGATGCGGAGACCCGATCTAGTCTCCCCCCCTCAAGAAAAATCCCGCGTTCGTCACTCGCTACATGGCGAATGATGCCGTTTTACGCCTATGTGGCCCCGGAAAATGAAAAAATTCTCCTGTATTCACTGTGAAGTCAGAGCTTGCATGACCCGAAGATTTGAAAATCGAGCTGTCGAGCCCGATATGGTACTCTAGGGTCTCATATGTCATGAATCATGAATTTACAGACCTGATATTCCTTGACAGGGTACGCGAATTTGATTGAGAATTCTTCGCTTTGAAGACCACTCAACAACTTATCCAATGCGTCGCGATCATTGCCAAGAAGTTGCAGGAACATGGGTGCGGTGGTTCGTAGGAGCTCTTCCGCTACCTTCGAGAGGTCGCATGATGATATCCACAGGTTTCATATGGGACTCCGGAATATCAAGCAGGAATTGCGTGATCATACGGAGAAAAATCTCACCTCGTCGAACGCAGTACACCACATTTCGTCGGTGGCATCCTTGACCAAGATTCTCCCGTGAAAACGCCAGATGAAATCATTTCTAGGGAATCGGCATTTGGAGCAGAAATAAGTCATATCACTCAGAAGCTGCAGCTTTTTGTAGCAATTCGCTTTCGAACATGATTGGTATGCGATTGGATTTCGAACGAAGGTCGCGATTCCCACCCGGTTCAAAAATATCATCGGAGGCTTCGGAAGATTTTCTGCTTGCAATTTGACATTTCCCCGTGCCTCTTGGAAAGACGAGTTTTTCTCGCTGACGGACTGTCGTTCAACGATATCGAGTACAGCGCGACTCGTTCTTACCGTCCCCCACCATTGAATCCAGTCCAGGAAGCGTGGATTCTCTGCATCGGAATCCATTTCCGAGGTGAGTTCGAAGTTCAAACTCATGCTCCCCCGGGAACTATTGCAGCGAACGCGTCTGAAGAACACTGGTTCGTGTTCCGCCATGGGCTCGTTAACGGCCTCATTCCAATGAGAGATCTTCATCGGTTTGAGGTCTTCATCGAGGATACGGATCTCCTGTTTTAGAATGGGCTGCATCGCCGCGATATGAATGATGACTCCGCACACATTTACCAATTCATTGGTTGGAATCGTTACGGCAGTCCCCAATTTGAGGTAAT